CTCTGGTCCAAGACAGCGAGCGACTCACCAGACTTTAGAAACAGGAGTGCGCAAACATGGGACTGACGCGAGGTTATCTCCAACTTTTATACACCTGATTCATCTTTTCTCACATAAAAATAAATCTATAGACACAGTGGTTGATTCCTGTTAACGCTTTATGGATAGTAAGCTCATAACACAGTGATGGATCTAGTAAAAAAAAGACTAAACTAAAAGGTCTCAGTACATCAGGGGAAGGAGACTAAGCAGTAGGAGATAGAAGTAGAAAATTACTATATTGTCCTGTTCTTATCAGATATTGAGAAAATCCTCATGACTGACACATTTCCAAGTCCCTGATGGAGGCAGGAAAGTGAAAGTAGGCAGTAAGATTCCAGTTTGGATCTCCTGACAGGTGAAAAATCTGTTCTTTCCCTTCCTCATGAAGTGTATCTGCGGTGCAGTGATGTGGTAGCGGCCTCAATATGTGATTTTTATTAACGTGTCTTTGGACAAATTTCCTTTGATAAGCAAAGGTCGTCCTGGCTGTGAGTGCTGTCTGTGCTTGAGCTGAGACTCTTCTGCCTGTACAGTATGTTTATATTTAGACTGAATGTCAGTGGTGTGGAAATAGTAATGGATTTCCATAAAGTGCATGTGTGTGTGGGTGTGTGTGGGTTACTGCAAGCCCACACGTGCATGCATGCGTACATAAATGTGCAGTACAGCAGCTTATGTCTGCATATGCATGCAAGTACCCACATCTGTGTGCTGGGAGGAGTTTGGATAGGTCAGGACGTCTTCTGATTGCATCTGCATTGTTTATCTTCCCTCTTTCATATTGATGCAGCGATAAAATTAATAATTCAGCCGTGTGTGTGTGTTTCTCCTCCTCTTAGTGAACAGTCTTTGTCATATGTGTATGATTCATTCACTTGTTCCTGCTGCCACCCAAAGGGATAGTTACAAATAACTTCGGTGGATAAAAATTCCCCTCTTGCTGATGTGGGCGGTCTTTTATCCTTGAAGCTCGGGTCCTCTGCCTGAGGCTTGGAAGCTTGAGGGTTCTGTGCAGTGTCTTTGCTGTTCCTAGGACTCTGCTCTTCTGGACAGAGATCTTGGATGTTGTTCCTGGGATCTGCTGGAGCCACTCGCCTAGTTTGGTGAGTGCCTCTTCTTTGAACCCTTGGTACTTCTCCAGCTACTTGTGTTCCTTCTGACTGATGTTGCTATCATTCGGATCACTACATCTATTGCTACAATGCTATTTTGTCAGTCTGTATTTGGAACTCACACAGGATCTTAGCATTTTGACCTCGGGACTTCCAGATTATACTCGGCACAGATGTTCCTGTACACTATGCCGGCCACTTGGTTATGGCGTTCCATGTATGCCTTGCCTGCTAGCATCTTGCACCCTGCTGTTATACGGTGGATTGACTCAGGGGCATCTTTACACAGCCTGCACCTGGGGTCTTGCCTGGTGTGATAGACCCCAGCCTCTATGGATCTTGTGCTCAGAGCTTGTTCTTGTGCTGCCATGATTAGTGCCTCTGTGCTGTCTTTCAGTCCAGCTTTGTCCAGCCACTGGTAGGATTTCTGGATATCAGCCACTCTTCATGGTTCCCATTTGCCTGTGGGATCCCAGGTGCTTGTAGTTGTCCTCTATGTCTGCAATGTTGCCTTCTGGTAGTTCGAGCCCCTCAGTTCTGACTACCATCTCTCTCTTTGTTATCATCCGACTACACTTCTTCAGTCTGAATGACATTCTAATGCTTTTGCTGAACCAGCTGCTAATTGATGAGAGACACCCGGAATGGCTAACTGAAAGCTGGACACTCTTAATCCCCAAGGATCCCCGGAAGAGACCGGTCCCATCCAACTAGCAGCCAATAACCTGCCTCAGTACCACACACGCATAAATATGAGGGAAGAACACGCCGTCTTCTTCCTACATAACATATAAACAAATAAAATGTTCTTATTTTGTCGATTATATCATTGTTTTCTTCCTTGAATCAAACTCTGACTGAATGAAAAAACAACCAGCAACAATATTTAAAGAAACAAAAACAGGATTTAGAGCTGAATGTAAAACCCATATCTCAGTCTTTCTTTGTGCCTCCTCACCCCCACATCTTCCACTAAGTCACAGCGTCCCACTGTTTGAGGAGAAATACATATTTATTGTGTTTTGTTGTATTTGTTTGGCCCTCAGTGTCTCTGGGGGATTAGAATAAATTGTTCCATTTAAAGAGCCAGACGCAGTGTGTGTCTGTGTTGTAGGGATTTGTGGGTCCTCGTTGTTGTTTGCGTATTACCTTACACTATAACCTCAGAGTCTTATCATATGTGGCGGGGGGTAATCTGCTGAGCAATAAAGACTATATGAGGAACAATGTTCTATAATGAGATACTGTATTTAGTTGGGCCGTTTATGTTAATGAGGAAGTTCAGTTAGAGGATTTCTAACGATTGGTGTGTGAACACATCGTCAGCCAACAGCTCATGTTTGAGATGATTTATTACAGCAGCAGAAAATAGTTTTAGTTTGTCATCAAGGCTCTGACCTCCTCACTTCAAACTAATATGGCAGAAATTTGTGAGCGTTGAGTGAATCGAGCGTACAGGTGGATGCAGAGCACCGGCACTTCATTAGACCCGTGAGCTGGGAGGGCATGTTTGATGTGTGACGACGTAGCTCGACGTGTCATCCTGATCACTCGCAGGTTTCACTCCATGCACGCAAACATTTCAATAGAAATAAGATCATGTAAAAACTAGAATTTGCATTTTTTGAGTTTATATTATGATTCATGTTGTTACAACAATCTGTCGCACAGGTGGCAGCATGTGCAATCTACTCTGTGATTGACCTCGTAATGTGATCACTTCTCTTCCCTGCACAGTCAGCTGATATCGGCAGCATTTCGAACCTCCACATAATCAGCATCTTCATTCCTTCATTCTGTTGTCTTTACCTGAGCTGAAAGCCAGGCGTGCCATTTCTGAGCATTGCTCACCTCAGTGTTTTGAAGCAGGTGCGTCAGAAGCCAAGCTCTTCAGCAGACCCTTATTATCACCGCTGCAGAGAAGTTTCACGATGTAAAGGCCATCGTCTCTGCCACCTCACTACGTGTGCTGAACACTGACGCAGGACTGCAAATATTCTACTAGTGCAGCTCAGAGAGAGACTGACTCACTGAGAATCGCTGCTTTCATTCTTCTGTTGTCTAAAGAAAAGGAGCCAGGAATGGAGGCAACATATTAAACAGGGAAGGGATTTACTTAACAGTGCTAACGAAGTGATGGCTTCAGTTGAAAAACTAATAAAATGAGAGTAGATAATACTCTAATGCATTGTCTCATAAACCCTTTTGCCCAGGACTGACTGTCAGAGCGTTCGTCCTGATTTTTCTCAGCTCGGTCTTGTCCAGAAGAATGAAGAACACGTTCTCCATCGCTCTTCTACTTCTTACACTTATTAATTTGCAGGAAACTTTTGTCCTATGCATTGTAAAATTGAGGTACAAACCGAACTTGAGCAGATAAAGGAACAGACAGAGAAAATCAGGCCCTCGCTGCTCCGTCTTTCATGCCCATAAGTCTGTAGGCGCATGAAGCAAATGGGAAATACAGAGAAGTGCAGCGGATGGTGATGGAGAGATGAAGGGCTCATTAGGTGGGTAAGTGCTCTCAGAAGTGGCAGCTGCTCAAGCAGTTTTTGAAGGCAGAAAAAAAGGATTTCGCTGACTGAACCCAGTTCAGAAACTCCACCAGGAGAAGATCGTGGATTGAGATTTTCTGGCTGGCAGTCGAAGAGCCGGACCGTTTTGTTGGAGGCATCCCAACTCAGACTTCTCTGCTGTGCTGTAAAAATATCAGAAGCTAAAATATAACCTTGGTCACTCGTTTATCATTTTCCTAAACAGGCATGACTGTGGTAGGGATATGTTGACTCGTATCTAATTATCTAACATCCTTTTAAATGTAACTCTCAGTTCATTACAGACTCTGGGGCTGTTCATGAAGCTCATAAGATAAAACTGTTTCCTCGTTTCTGTCATAAAGACGTTCTTACGACTGTGGATCCTTCATTGATGAGGATCGCCGATGTACAAATAATCGCTGTGAGCCAAAAACTCACTTTAGTTTGTGCTTAACACTCAAATATATAAGGCTGAATATCCCTGTCAGCTAATATTTGTATATTGATATTGTTGATTGATGTCGAAATATCATTCCCGATCTGGATTCCCGTTTTGTGCCTCCGCATCTCGATTTTCTGGCATCTGGCCTGAGGCGACCTCGCGTGATGTAAGACCTGCCTGCTTTAAGACTGACGGGCATCAAGAAGAACACGACAGTAAGTCAGCGAGTATCAGTGGATTTATGTGCGGCTCGCTCCTGTCAGACGTACTTATGATTTGAGAAATCTTCTAATGTGTCTGAGGCACGACGTGGCTGAACAAAGGCCCGTCAGCTCCGTCGCGTTTCCCTGGATAAATATGGGTTAAAAGAACAGAGTCGCTGACACCAGCAGACAATACTTTGCTGTTCCCTGAAGCGAAAAAGGCTGAGACATGCTGCTTTAGAGTTTCCTCACTGCTGGTACTCGCGGGGAAAAGGCTTGAGCAGAAATCCAAAAGAATTTTTATCTCTTTCAGAAATCCCTCGAGGAGACGGAGAGAGGGCGCCGGGGGTAAATTGCCAGCGGTTAGAGCTTCTCAACCTCAGGCTTGAGCAGCGTGTGCAGTTGACATGTGGCTGATATGAGGAACATTTAAAGAAAAACAGAAGTTTTTTAAGTTTTATTCACAGACTCTGCCAGATAAAGCCATCTGGCAGAATCTCTGAATAAAGAGAGAGAGAGACGCCACACACTGTTTCCCGTATCTCCTTTTCTCAGGTCAAATATCAGCGATAAAGCAGCACAGAGGCGGTGACGACCTGATCTCACTGAAAGAAATCGTTTTTACTAAAACTAACCAAAGTGGCCGTTGATTGTGTTGTTTCAGTGAGAAGTTCATGGTGAGACTGAACAAGAACGGAGGTCCAAAGAATCCAGAGAAGGTGGACCGGCTGTGTGCCCTCTTCACGGTAACAACACACACACACACACACACACACACACACACACACACACACACACACACACACACACACACACACACACACACACACACGCGTTTAATGAAACTCGTGGTGCAGTGATGGTGTTTCGTGTAATTTAAGAAGGGAACAGTTGAAAAACTGAGGATCTAAAAGTGAGGAAGCATTGCCCCCTGTTGCTCTGCAGCAGAATCAGTCTGCAGATCGTTTGATGCATTTTTGCTGCACTAAAGCTCCCAACGTTCACTGATGCAGTTATTTGAATTCTTCAGTAATTACAAAAACTCAATTGAAGTCAGTATTATAAGGTGAATGCATGATTTACATGTAAGTCACAGGGGAGATGAAACTAGACGTGCTTAAATGATTAAGCTGGTTAAATCTGAGCGTTCTTGTTTCAACCCGAGCTGGAATCAGTCCATATATGTCTAAATTACACACATATTTATAAAAGTAATAAAACAATCCACTGATGCAGCAGTCTAAGCAGAGCTTCTTAGTCCTCCTGTCTCCCTGGGCCACCTCCTCCAGCTCTTCCAGGGCCTTCCCAAACCCAGCAAACCCAGGACAACTGGCTAATTTTCATGAAGCTCCTCAAACTAAATATCTCTGAAGCTGAGCCCAGTCAGAAGCTAATTTCCTCTGAAGCCTTATTCTTAGCTCGGGAGCCATAAGTGAGAAACATAGACCGACCGATAACAACTTCACCTACCCGCTCAGTGAGTGGTACAGCATCCACATCAGTCTGTCTGGCAGTCTCCTGCTCCAATCTTCCTCAACTCATGAACAAGATCCAGAGAAACTTGAGCTTCTTAACTTGGGGCAGGAAATCATTCCTCTCCTGGAGTGTTAGAAACCACGATTTTCCTGCTGAGAAGCAGCGCCTCAAGGTGGAAGTGTTAATTATCATTCCAACTGTGTTGCATTTGGCTGCAAAACCTCCCCAGCTGGAGCTGGAGATCACCTCTGACTGGACCAGCAGCACCATCATCTGCAAAAAACAGCAAAAGATGTGATCCAGGAGCTCCTGGCTCCACATCGGAGTTCTGTCCATAAACGTTACGAACAGAAACTCAGAGCACAAACCTTCTTTAATTGTAAGAAAAGCTGAAGCTGGTGGATGATGATGATGATGATGATGATGATGATGATACCTTTTTCTTTTTCTCACAGGATCTGAGTAACAAAGACATGAAGAGAGATCTCTATATTGTCTCACAAGTTATCAGGACAGGTAAGTTATGTTATGTAGGTGGAAACAATTCCTGCAGAAATGCCTGAAATAACAGAATAACTTTGTCAAGTTTATAATGTGCACCTTTATTAACCTGAAATACCATTCAGATTAAAATAGAAAGAAATGAATGCTGTCGTATGAATGGAACAGGAGCCTTTCTCATTATGTGACGCACACGCTTCTGGTTACAGGTCGAATGCTGCTGAATGACAGTAAGAAGGGTCCTCCGCACGTCCAGTACCGTCGACCGTATGGCTGTGCGGTCCTGGCCATGAGCGACGTGCTGCAGACCATCTCAGAGCTCAAAGAGGAGAAAGATTTTGTCCTTAAAGTGTACACGTAAGTGTCTGCACTCGCAGATAACGAGGCAAGAGAAAAATACTGAGGGTTCACCGCAAGTAATGGCCTGATTAGACTCACAGCACAGGACTCGAACCTGTGGTGAAGCAGTGACACAGATATGAGTCGCTGGTGTTGACATAAGCAGACATATGAATCCTAAATGAAGTGTACAGATCTCAGGTTTAGTTGCTGGCACTTCATTGGACAGATGGACAATGACCCAAGTAAAAAAATTGCAAATGCAACCCCGGGTTTAGGAAGGTAAAGAATCAGCTGATCTCAAACCTGCCAGCATTTCGTTTACAGAGGAGAAAACTAAAGGCAGGAAACACAGCTGCAGTCAGAAGCTGGCAGAGTTACAAAGGAGGAAACACTCACTCGTAATGAGTTTGGGCTGGAGAAGGTCGGTACCTGTAAGGGGTTCTTAATAAAATATTAAAAAGTAAACAAAATGTTTACTTTTTAAATATTTTGTTACGATTATGCTGATATGTCCGGGTACATGTGACCCTCGAAATAAGTGGACTGTTGTTTTTTTGGTAAAGTCCTGATATTAAAGCTAAAAGTCTTTGTTTTAAATCCATATTTATCATATTACTGTATGTTTGAGTGAACTAAAATAGCAAAAGTGCCCAAAAATATCAGCTTACAGCACAAACTCAACACACCCAGAGCTCAGAGATGATATTTTCTTTTTGGAAAATCATTTTGTCCTACTCCAAATATTTCTGGGCTGAGAGAAAAGGTCAGAGAGAGAAAGAGGAGAAGGTTAAAGATAAGCGAGCTGGAGAGACAGTAAAGAGTGGGGCATGCCATATATTTTTATTATAGCTTTACTTCTGTTCTTATCGCTCTGTCACCACCAGCCTCTTCTTTTTCTCTCCTTTCCTTATTTGTAAGAGAGACCGAGAGCGGCTGCACAGCCTCACTGTCAGTGCAGTTTGTGACGTCAGCAGCTGTTCTTTCACTCACACGCAAAGTCGATGCTCGGCATTAGGGACTATCCCTCAGCTGAACCTCTAAAAAGGTGCCTGCAGGATCTGTGTGTGTGTGTGTGTGTGTGTGTGTGTGTGTGTGTGTGTGTGATGCCTCAGTCTTAGCTGAACTGCTCGGGTCGGTTCACGGGGGGTTAGACGTCTCCTTTTCAGGCTTGTGTTCCAGCATCGTGTGACGTTAACGGGACCGAAATCATCAGTTTGTTAGAATCAGCCGAGGAAAATGTAGATCCACACGTTCACTCTGAAGAAAGACGAGTAAATTAAGAGTGGAACGAGCGAGTTGTTTTATTGGATGGGGCTATTTTATGTTAATACAAAAATCCAGCAGCTTGACACAGCGTGGCTCATCCACTGTATTATCTGCAAATAGGTCTGCTAGTTACTGCTCTTTTTCTCTTTCCTCCTGTTGTTTCCTTGATTAATCAGTCGATCTGTAAAACTGTGAAAATGCAATTTCCTGGCCTCTAAATGGCTCAAAGATGCCATTAACGGGTGTTTAATCGGACCTTTGGTCTAATCTAAAAACTGTTTTCCCTTTATGAAACAAAAAAAATAAATAAAATGTATGATTTGGCCGAGAGCAGCACTCTCTAGTGCACAGAAGTGTGCAATACAAACAGAGATGTTACATTTTCCAACAAAACCACAGAACCAAAGATGCGTTTGCACAAAAATGCGGCAGGTCAGCACTCGAAATGGAGAGTGGGTTTGTCAAGATACCAGCGATGAAGCCCGGGTGAAGATGATCTGCACACAGACAAATGTTTTGTTGCATTTTTGGAGTAGCAGCAGGAGTGAAAGGGAAGCCTACAAGATGGGAGTGAACCTGCTGCCGTGTGTCGTTTGGAGATGATGACACTGACAAAGAGACAGGAGGCCCGGCTGAAGATATTAAGATCCACACTGGGAGTGAGCAGGATGGAAGGGATTTGAAATGAATATGATGAAGTTCGAGCTCCATGCAGAAGAAGAGAAGATTCAGAGGACAGATGTTTGGTGCGACAGGAGAACAGACAACAGAGAGGGAGAGATGGAGACAGCTGATCTGCTGTAGAGACCAACGAAGACATGGAAGAAAGACCTGCTCCAATTTATCCGTGTATTTAACTCCAAAATTTCCCCTCACTTCCTCTGACATGTCAGCGCTGCTGCTCTGCCTTGCTACCTGTCATTCACCTCACCACCCCAGCATCCACCCGTAGACCACGCCCCAATTTTATATTTTAATTGCAATGATTGATGGCACGTACGCCCCAAAGTAACTGGCAAAATAACTAGATTTCAAAAGTCCATTATATCCAACCGAACTTTTGTTGTATAAAAACACAAGTTACAAATATATTGTTATCCTTTATAGGACATGATTGTTTTTTGTTGCTCTCCAGGTGTAACAATGAGAATGAATGGTACCAGATCCATGAGAACATCATCCGCAAGTCCAGCACCAAATACACGGCACCCAGCACCAACTACGGTAGGAGAGACCACGTGTTTGTGTACCCTGAGTTTGGATGATCGGACCCCAACAAACTGAGTGTGGGATAAAGAGCACATCTCTGATTTATGCTAAATACAAATACTGAAGCTCATAGTTACATTTAAGAATAAATAACTTGTTAATATCTCAAAGATCTCCACTTTCTTTCATGCAAACTTTTCTGGTTCTGAATCCCGAACAAGCCCCTAAACTGTTATGTTCCCTGAAACGGGCTACAGGATGAGGGGAGTAACAGTAGAGCAGCGGTTCCCAACCCCCAGGCCAGTTGTTTGGTACCGGGCTGCGAGAGTGGAGGCTCGGGGGTGAAGTGTATGGTTTTCTGGGTTTTTATCAGTTTTTAGCGTTAACTTGGTTTCCTTCGGACTTTCCCCGTGTAATGAATAAATCTTCTTTTTTTGGTATACTGGTTTTATTTTGTATTTATGACACCTTAATGGCCGGTCTGTGAAAATATTGTCGGGTATAAACCGGTCTGTGGGGACCGCTGGCCTACAGGATGAGGGGAGTAACAGTAGAGTATCCATGTGAAAGAAAAGGTGAAAAGATTACAAACTCAATCCTGATTTTATTAAAAGCTCTAACTTCGCCTCTACACCCTAAATAATCCAGAAATAAAAGAAAAGCATCAGCAAACAGATAATGTTGGGAGATTGGAAATAAAAATGAAGAATCTGCACCTCAACAACACAAAAGAAGAAAAACCCACTCTGCAAACAGGAGGTCACAGTTACTCACCGGGAGCTTGACATAATTAAAACACAACACACGGCTAAGGCTACTGTACGTCTGGCCCATAGAGAGACTGAGCTGCTCTCCTCCCCAGCTCTTACACTGTAGGCCTGGTTGATCGCTGAGTGCAGCCAGCTGTGCCCTCACTCCACTGGAAATGACGGGCAACCCAGCTATGGTAAGAGAGGAGGCATAAAGGTTAGCAATCAACACCCAAACAACACAGCAGGCTTGCTACACGTATATCGGAGCACAATTTATTGTCCTAAAAGTATATTTTTTTTATTCTACTGGATTTTTTTGTCCAGGTGAATTATTTTGGCCACAAAACCCAGAAGCAGATGCGTTATCCTTGCAGGGTTACCCTGCAACATTAGCAGTGCAGTGGTGTTTTTGTGAACACAGCAGCCGAGGGTGGAGGCAATTTCTAGCACTCAGTTATTGCTCCAGCCCGCTCATGTTCTGTGTGGACCGTTTCTTCCAGTCACTTTATTACTTCTGTCAAAGCACAGAGGGCAGGAGCAGATTCTAGTCCTGCAGCACTTGTGACTCGTTTTATTTCATTGCTGATGAGTCAGCCGACATTTCAGGAACACTGAACAAAAAAGAGTTCCCAGGAGCAACTTATTTAGAGTGTCTGACTGACACATGCAAGTCATCACACTGACATCAGCGGGAAAATCATATTAATTGGTGTCACTGTAGAGGACTCTCCTCTGCCCCAGTGTTAAAGTCTGTGAACTCCCATGACCCCGCACAGATATGTGTCTTCAAAAAAACATAATCCAGCTGCAAACTTTTGTTTTCAGGTGAAGAGATGAACCCAGACTAACAGGCTGAGAGTCTGCTGGAAAAGCAGTTTGGCAACGTTTAGCATGCATTGAAATGTTTGTTCTGATTCTGGGGAGATCAAACGAGCTCTGCAGCTTCAAAACTCTGTTTAGACTTTAAGTTTATCTGAATTTTATGTGTGGCCTAAAGGCTGTGCTTTTTAAATAGGACACTTTGTTCTGTCTTCTTCCTTTGCTTTTCATCCATCTCTCTACCCATCTTCTTTTTCTGTCAACCCACTCGTTCCCATTTCTTCCCCTTCACATCCTGCAGGGCTGATCATCTCCCTGCAGCTGCTGAGGGGCGACATGGAGCAGGTCCGCAGAGAAAACCCGCTCATTTTCAGCAGGGGGGTGGCCATCACACGCAAACTGGGATTCCCAGATGTCATCATGCCCGGTGAGTCACGTATCCAGCTTCATGTAGGCCTACCCATCGCAGCGCAGCGGGCTGTCCACCTCAACACTTCTATTCTTAGTTTACGTAAGCACACAGCAGAGATGGGCTCCGTGAATAACACGTAAAATAAATAAAAACAACAATTCAGGTTTGAATCATGTAAATGGGTCAGACAGGAATAGAAAAAGTGCTGAATGTCTGGGCGGGTTTTGTACATCTCTACCTTCTGCTTTTGAAGAAGGGAGCAAAAACACGTACCTGTTGAGCTGAAGCACAGAGAAAAGGTGCAGTGTTGCAGGTGTTCTTCTCGAGCAGGCATTTTGTAAACAGTTTTATTTCTTGCAGCTATAAAAATCTTCAAAAGCTTTGTTTGGCTTTCAAAGAGGCCTTTGGATCAATGTCCAAGTTCCAAACAAAGAAAGAGAATTTAGATTTGAGGTTCAGGATCCCTGAAAATAAACAAGTGACTTCAAGGCTGGACAGATGGACAGAACCACAGAAGCTGATCTGCGCTCCTGCCAGGCTGCTGCTTAATTTAGATTCCTACATGGGAACAACAAAGGAGTGAATCTGGTTTTTCCAGCAGGAACGTCTCCAAAGCACTGGTCGAAGTAAACAGTTTCCCAGAATTGGACCCGCTTTGTGATATTCCTGTGTTAGCTTCCTCTTCTGAGAGCTATAAATCCATTACAGGGAGACCGAATGTGTCAGTTTGCATCTCTCCACTGACTTCATTTTAATTACAGTGGAGCTTCTCCTCCTGTAATATGTTAAAATGTTTGTGAAGACCTTCAAAGCTGTAAATGTGTTATTATTTAATAACCCAATAAACTGAGTTACAGGCTTGTAGATATTTAAGTCCACAGATGTATTTTTCATAAGTGTGGAAATCTCTTTCAGCAGTACTTAGCTTAAGTCACTTTGATGATTTAATGTCTTGTTGTACAGCTTCCCAGCTGTTTCTGTCGGTGTGTAAAAGATAATTCAATCTTCTCAACAAGTGCACTGCCTGCTGTCAGAGACGTGTTAGGCATGCACGCTCATTTATTTATCAGTCTTAGCTCTTATCTGCCCCAGAGGACTGACATCATTTAGTCCAGCCCCTCTGCAGGAGACTGGAGCTCAAACTATCTGGTCCTGGGTGAGGAACCAGACAAAGAGTGATTCAAATGATTTGCCATGGGAGACCCTGCCAGGGGCAAATCCCCCCACCCCTGAAAACACATATATATATATATATATATATATATATATATATATATATATATATATATATATACACATATATATACAAATGAAAATAAAAAATATATCGTGATGTCTCACTGTGAGGGACTCATAGACTTCTTTAGACCATGTTGGAGGTTTTCTTGGTGCACTGTGGAGTTTAAATATGTGAATTTGTTTCCAACTTCACTTTGAAAAGTAAAATATTATAGTTCCTTAAGTTTTCTCTCATAAATTTGCAGCTGACACAAAGATTTTACATTTTTATGTTTGAGAAAACTTTTATTTCCATATCTGGATTTTAGGTTTTATGCCTCGTTTTTCCAACTGGCTGCAGCCTGATAAAGAAACCACAAAGATGGACAAGTGTGTGTTTGTGTGTGAATGCTGCAGCAGCCTGATATCACATCCAGGCAGCAGCTGGATTTACATACAAAAAGCATCTCACTGTTTACTTTTTGTATCCACTGCTTGCAGCTTCATTCAGTTAAAGAAACCTTACCTGTCCCACATTCATGCTTACTTTTTAGATTTAGCAGAAATACCAAACACTGATGCTGCTGAAGCTAAAGTGCTATGATCTCCACAGTCTCCTGTTAATTCATTTATGCAGCCTGTAAAATATGTGACCTCAGAAAATATTCAACATCCCGCATTTATGTGCTTGACAAGAGAGGCTTTCTTAGAGGCACAATTTCAGCCCCAAATATAATTTCTCCTCTGGTCTGTGGTGCTGCTTGTCCGGTGAGGTAGTTATGATGCGAGCTGCCATGTTTTAGAGCTGCAGAAATGTCTGTTGCTCTTCAATAGACAGGGCTGAAAAATGAAGCTGAGGGCAAAAAACTGCAGTTCCTCTAAAAGCAAGTCAGTCCCTTAGACTTCCTGTTAACTTTACAGCAGGAAATAAACATTCTTACAGCCTGCTACAGAAATTATTCAAAGCTTTTACCCCGTCGTGCCAGCTGTCAGGAGTTAATCTTTACATAATTACAAGAAGTGCTTTGAATACATCATCATTACCATAGATTCATCTTTACCACATCAGGTCCTTTTGTAGCAGCCCTGCAAGCCAATCGTTTGCTTTGTATTTAACTTTCGCCTTTAGAAATAAAGGACACGAGTCGAGCAGCTTCATAGTCCAGCTCATGAACCTGCTGTGCTGCTCTCATTGGTGAATACTCTTAATGATGATGAGCTTAACAGGTAAACAAATGAACGCTTACATTAAGCTTCCCTCTACAGCAAACAGGAAGAAAACAGCAGGGCTGCACATCCCACAGGCACCAGTGTCTTTCACACACATTAACCACTGCTCCCCTCAGGCAGTGATGGAGTGAGTGTTTAACTCCCATCTTTATACATTAAAGGTGACACCTCCTCTATGAGGACGAGCGGGGAGTGATAAATGAGTCCGCACACGTCCACACAGGTCGTTAGTCTTATGTGTGTCAGCTTAAAATGTGTGCGACACACCGCGCCTGCTTCGAGATTACGGACATGTTTGCATCTTTGTTGCATCTTTACAAATAAAACAACCATGTGCGCTGGTGTTTGACACATATTAGTCTGCATTAACATGTCTCTGCTGGTCCAGGTGACATCCGTAACGACCTGTACCTGACACTGGAGCGAGGAGATTTTGAGAGGGGAGGGAAAAGCGTTCAGAAGAACATCGAGGTGACCATATATGTGCTTTACGCCGACGGAGAAATCCTCAAGGTAGGGAAACGTTCCTGCTGTAAAAAGCCTTCTTTTGTCCAGTTAGTGACACATAATATAAACAGATGTTCAGCATCTTTCTTCTTCTAACAAAAAAACAAGTCTTTCATCAGTTTGAAGTTGTGCCTAATGTTAAACTTTAGGCTGGTTTATAGCAGTAAGTTTCTTTAAAGGCAGCAGAGAATTTGTAGCTCACAGCAAACATGTTTCTGGTGTTTTGATGGTTTAGTTCAAGTTTAGAGTAGAATTAGCAAACAATGAAAACACCAAAGTCACATTAAAACACACTAAGTAACAGCTGCAGCAGATGAACCACTTCAATGTTTTTTGGAGATGAAATGACCTGTTTTATTGGACTGTAAGAGTAAAGTAGTGAAAATGTTGTAAGTTAGAATAAATGAGCAGTATAATCCACTATCAGCTCTTTTATGTGTGTGAAATCCACGTTGTTGACCGTGCACACTTCAGTACATGCTTTTAGTTTCTGTGCCGGTCTCATGATTTCTTGGGTACCTGCTGCCCCCTGTAGGTTCAAACCTCATATAAAGAAACTAAAACACTTTAAAGCAGTAAAACACCAGGGCAAACATCCGCCTGCTTTACAGGTGAAAATAGAGCAACAGGACCGCTGAGTCTTTGATTTTATTTATTTTCTGCTGTGTTTCACTTGCATCTATTTGAAAGACTGAGTGTAAACACAAAAAATATTTTATGTGCTGGAATGTGCAGAAAATAGGTTTAAATGTTAAACTAATTTATTCAAGTCAGAGAATGTTGCATATAATTAAATGTTTGCTTGATGCATAAAGTTAAGATTAAAACTAATAAAACAAGTTTTAAAAAGAGACTTTTCCATCTGATTATATTTTGTATGATGATTATGTAGAAAAAGTAGAATTGGGCTGAAAGATCTATCGCTTTATCACCTCTTCAGGTTGTAAATCGTGTTTTTAAAAAGTAACTAAGTAACTAAGTAATTAATTACTTTTGAAAATAAGTAATCAGTAAAGTAACCGGATTACTTTTTGGGGAAGTAATCAGTAATTAGTTACTTGACCAACACTGCACACAAGTAGTCTCAGTGATAACAAACAATATTACTTACAGATGATTAACAGAGGTGAAACTGCCCAATGCCAGCATACGACTGTCTGTAATAACTGTGTATTTTCAATAGTGTCTATAACATCTTGCAGGCTACTGTCTGCTATAACAGCTTGTATGTGGATGGAGGTCAGACCCTCCACTGAGCATCGTATGAAGGATTACACCAACATGTCATCCGCCTTCACTGTGCTGCCCAATAATAATCCTAGAGAGAAGGAAGCCCCCCCCCCCCCTTATTTTAGCGAACTTTAAGGTTTTATATCTAATTTGGAGCCTTTTACCTTGTCATATGTGTCTGACAACATTTTGTCCCATTGATTAAATTGTTTCTGGCTTATTTCTATTGGCAATGTTTGAAATAAATATAATAATTTGGGTAGTATATTCATTTTATTCCAATCTATTCTCAAATATAAACTTAGGTTAGATTAAATTCCATCTCGCTATATCTTCCTCGATTTTCTTTTGTATTGGTGAATAATTTCTTTCTAATAGTTCTGTGAGATCCTTATGTATTATAACTCCCAAATATTTAAAATACTGTGAGGAAAGGGCACAAAAGAACCTGCGTAGACCACATGATGGATTCAAACCCAGGAACCTTCCTGCTGTGAGGCAACAGTGCTAACCACTGCTTGGTATTTTTTCTGGTGATTCCCAAAAAAATAGAATTTATGTTCTAAATAATTCCTGTACAAATTTTACATCAAATATGAGTGCTGGCTCATGACTTTTGCACAGACTGAATGTAAGACAGTGGTTCACATCTCCATCAGTCCCTGCTGTCCAGCTCTACGTCTAACTTTATCTCTCCGTTAGATCCTATTTCCTTGGCACGTTCTGCTCCTGGCTTTTCTTGAGTTTTCAGATGTTTTAGTTTCCCTGCAGAAATGAAAGAACTGGTTCAACATTAGATGTTCTTCATCGTCACTTAAGAACATATGATGAGCTCAGTGCACTGATATGACCTGACAGTGTGAAACTAAAGCCTTTTTTAAAGTATGCAGGCAGGCTGAAAGGCCGTCTATTTGAATTAGATATAATCTTCATAGCCTGCGACACGTTTCTTACATGTTACGATGAATCTGACTGAACTGATCACTACAGAAGAGTTGTGTCAGAAATAGCTGAGCCAACAAAGGCACAAGTGGAGTGTTGGACCCACTCTCAGTGACAGTAAATGCATTTCTCTGTGCTGACGATGAGATTTCAGAGATGTGTGATCAGGAACTGAGGTGAGCTTATTGAAAAGCTCATTAGCAGATGATCAATAGTCTGAACAGCCTGAGTCAAAAACAGAGAAAACTGCTGTTCTGGCAAAATTAAAAAAAAAAAAATAAATTAAATTTGAATGCAGTTGATCAGAGTAATCGCATCACTAACCAGCCGACTTCTGAGTGATGTTTGTGTTTGTCTCATGCACAGCACGGCCGTTGGTGGCACCTTTGTCCGATGTTTCTCCACACTGGCTCAAACTTACAGGCTCTGCAGTTTGAGGTTCACGTTGGAATGAGTCTGTAGAAATAAACAAGTTCATGCTTCAGTGTTTTTCATAAATGTTATCATTTAACTTCCAACTTTTCCACCAAAAACAAGCCAGCCTATCACACCTTTCTTAAAGGTTCCCATTCAAATACGTTTTCACTCCTTGACTTCGCTTACCTGAAGGACCCCTTTCAGTTGACCTTTGAGTATCACTCAAATGTGTTGTGTGCTCAGTTGGCCCAGGTGTTGGTGTGTCACGGTTGTTGGGGCCGCTCTGGTCCACGGTTTCTCCACACTTGCTACGGGTACTGGGACTCAGAACTGTGGTGTACGGTCCACAGCGATCTGAGTCAAACACACAAAAAACACACAACTTTATGTTTCTGTCCTTTTACAGACTGATCATATTGTCACATTATTTTTAATTTACAGTATGTAGGTTCAAATTTAACTGTGTATAACCTTAATAGCATAACCACCAGTCAGTCTAACTCTATTGTTGTACCACCTTTCATGATGGTACGACAGGACAGATGGAAACTGTTGTTTCCCTTTATGAACAAATCAGATAATTACTCAAAACTTAAATAACTAGTTTAGATTTTAGTCTTATTTAGCATTTACCCTTTATTAGTCACAGTACAAACAGGAAGTATGAGGAAGACTGACACACTTAAATGATACCTGAGAGCTGAATTTGCTTTCATTCTCTCTCAGTAAATGTGTTTATCGCTTATGTGAATGACTGTTTATACTCCAAACTAAATGGTTTTGGGTGTCACTGTGGTTTAGGTTTCCATCTAACAAGCAGAGACAGATTCTGGAAATATCCACTGTCCTGTCTGTGAAAAAATAAAAAACAAACAAACAACAAATAAACAAAAAAAACCTAGAAAATAAGAACATTTATGGTTCTGTACTTTTACAGACTACACACACACACACACACACACACACACACACACACACACACACACACACACACACACACACACACACACAGTAAATATTTTTACTGTTAGCATGGCGTGCTTCTGTCATGGACATGAGTGCATGGGCCCAGGATCACTGCTCACAGAGCCGTGCACAAACGCAGGTTAAAGCTCCATCGTGGAAAGAATAAGCCACGTGTAATCATGATCTAAACCACCGCTCTGGAAAACTGTTCTGAGGTCAGACAAATCCAAATGTAAAATGATTGTTGGAAAACAAGGATTAAAGAGGGGAGAGACCATCAGTTCAAAAGTCTGCATCTCTAACAGTGCGGTGTTGCATCTATTCACATACCAGAGTCCAGAGTGTTACACGACACACAGAGAAAATGCAAAAACAATAACATGAAATCAGTATTTTTGCACCCTGCAGATGGTTATTAACGTCATTTCTTTTTAAACGTACCTCTCTGACATGTTCCGATGGCGCCGATCGTGAGTAACGTTCCCACAGCTCCAATCAGAATTCCAAGCACAACACTCCAGCCATGAACACTGATCTGATCTGACACTTTGCATTCCTCAAATATTTTCTCTGAAACACATGAAAAACAGCAAGGTTATAAATGTCATACTGTATCCAAAAATACTTTTATTTAAATATAGAAAAACTAATAATAAAACACCAATTTAAACCCAACAAAGAAGAGAAATCTCACCGGGCACATAGATCTCTGCTTTAGTCTGGTGGTGGATGTCCTCCTGCCTGGCTACGCAAACAAACAGGTTAGTTGTTGTCCTGCTAACGGTGGATCTCAGGGAGACGTAGTAGCGTCCTCGCTTTTCAGAGACCTGTGGCTCCTCGGCAGGGAGAACGTTTCCATTGCTGTCCTGCCACTCCAACTTTGGTTTGGGAAAAACGCCTGGAACCTCACATCTCAGCGTCACCCCGTCCTCTGTGACATTAAGTATGGCAGTATATGGTGTCATAGACGCGCCTGTAAATAGAACATCATGTAAATAGTTTGTAGAAATGTGATAATATGACATTTTGTCTACAGCTACTTAAATAGCTTAGAAAAATAAAACCACAGCACGCCAAAAGAATGAACCTAAAATGTGATGAAAATTAAGCCGAAACTTTGGTGGTCAACAGAAACCTAGAAAGTGTTCAGGTTTTGTCCCAGTGTATTAAATCTCCAGCAGCTCCATGCTGACCGCTCATCAAACAGATGCACCACAGATTTCTCTTTTTTCCTCTCTTCAGTCATTAACTTTGCTGATGTATGTTAGTAGCTCATACATCAGCTTTAACCATTTTCACACAGCACAGTAGCACAGCACAGAAGGTAAAAATAGAGTTAAGGCCTGCTTTCAAGTTAGCTAATCAAGAAGTTTCAGACCGGAATGGTAAATGGCCTGTATTTATATAGCGCTTTTACTAGTCCCTAAGGACCCCAAAGCGCTTTACACATC